CGACCGTGAGGCACCTGATTTGGGGGCACAAGGGCCTGCAAGTGAAGACGTTTGCCGTCTGCAATTCTGGTTAGAAGCCAAACTTGGTGTTTCAGATAATTGATAGGATCCAAGTTTGCTCGAACCATCAACCATGCACAAAAAGTCTAACACGTGCGCCGCCACTGACACAAGACTGTCCACCAGTTTGGCTTCCTGTGATGCTCTGCAGATCTTAAGCTTGGAGATGACTGGCCAAGTCAGGGTTTTTGTCCATCTCTGGTTCTGCGCATACTTGGAGGATCATGGGACTTAGGAAGTAAGGTTATAAGTCCCCTAATTGGGGTTATAAGTATAGTTACCTTAGTTATAACCCTACTTACTAAGTCCCATGATCCTTTAAGTAGGGCTTGATATTGCAAGCCTCAGCCTCAGGGCAGGAGAAACAAGACTGAACACGTGAAGCCTAACTCGCTGTTGGCACTGCATCTTCATGGACGAAGTTTCGTAAACCACAATTGCGCAGAATTCGGGCACTGACCCTTTCACCCTTCTAGTGGTTGAGGCCATGCCATGGGTAGCAAACTCTACATCTCCAAGCTCACTTCTCCTTGCAAGGTGGGGCTCTCAAGCGCGCAGGAGATTGCTCTTGCAAAACTGGCAGCATGTTCATGCATTCGGGGGAGGGGAGCCGTGACACGCCAGGGTTCAGGGTTTCGGGAGATTGAATCACACCGCTATTTATGCAGTTCCGAAGGGGGCAACTAGTGTGGCTGCCCAGAGTTTTCGGATTGGAGGATGAGTTGAGCCACTGTTGGGGAGTTTGAAAGCTTCCTTCAGCTGAAGACTCAAAAAGGTTCCAGGATTTATGATTTGAGGATGCTGTCAAACACTGCACTGCACGGTTCAGGATCTTCCTATCTTACGGTCGGAGTCTTCGAAGGCGTCTCGCTTTGGGCTTCAGGGTGGGGTTAGTGTTGTTCGAGGGTGTGCTGTTGGCTCCGGAATTCTCCCCACCCGCGGGTGCTGGGAGGCGCGTCGCTTCTTTCAGGGAGCGCGCCTCCTCGGGTTCACATCACTTCATGGGCTGTTCAATGGCAAGTTTGGCTTCTTGCTTAGGGAATAAAGCTTTCGGCTAGGGCTTTGAGGTAGTAGGGCTCGGAATGGATTTCTTGAGAATCGCTATCGTGGGATTTCGTTATGCACGGTTCGGTCACAAATCGCTGCCGTGAAAAGGCCCATTCCTATATTGTCAGCCCTAAACCCTAAACCCTAAACCCTAAACCCCTAAACCCTAAACCCTAAACCCTAAACCCTAAACCCCTAAGCCAGCACTATGCAGAAGTCATCTCGCAGAGAAACCTCCGGGCTCAGAGGTGTCCTCGCGGGCCGCGGGCACTGGGATGTCGAGCTTTGCAACAGAATGTAGGGCCCTTAAACAAATAAAATAGGGCTTTCGGGTCCCATTATACTATATTCATAACAAGGAACCCCCAACATAGTGTTAGTAATTATTAAAGCCCCTATAGTAGGGCTTCGCATTTAGGGCTTAGCATTGAAGCCTGGCTCGAGGCAAGAAAGTTCGATTCGCCAGAAGCTGACTTGAACTCGGAAGCGAGGGCGATCCCCGGCAACTGTCTACTGTTCCCATGATCCCCTAAACCTCACAAAGAGTCTGGTCTGGCTGTCATATGAGCGAGGTGCAGATTCAGCATCCTGCATGAGCCCCCCTCTTGACCCGAAGCAAAGATCAAACAAACAACGAGAACTTCAAGCATCTGGGTATTCGGACATGAACGCGTGAGGTTGGGGCGCTTCATGCAGCAAAGCATACTCATTTTAATGGGCTGAAACTAGGGTAAGCCCACAGCGCGGAGGGCACTGAAGGCTGTTCGGAACGGGTCTCCTTCGTGCATCCAAAGCAGCCCCACCGTAATCAGGGCATCGTATCAGTCGTATCAGAAGGACAAGCACAACTGGGAGCTTCAGGAAACAAAAACAGTTGAAATTTTCAACAGCGGGATGCTTAATTAATACAAGGACCCAGACCCCTACTTGGAGGTTCATGGACAGTGATCAGTCGGTTCTGTCTCGTTATACCGTTATACCTAGCCCATAGTAACTAACGGACTCCGAACACGACTTCATTGAATGGTAATGACCCAGCAAGCGGTTCCTATCTCCGAAGCCCCTGTGCCTGAGATGACCGCGGTGCGAATACGCGCAGTGGGCAGGGGCGGGAGCCTCGGTTCTGAGGCGGTTTAGGGTTTAGGGTTTAGGGTTCAGGGTTCAGGGTTTAGGGTTTAGGGTTTAGGGTTCAGAGCCCCGGTTTAGGGTTTAGGGTTTAGGCTTCCCGACATGTACGCCGAAGTGGTCTCCAGCCTTGAACCAATGAAGTTGCTAAGCGGCTTGATAGGCAAGGTGTCTAGCCGGCTTCTAGATGGCATAAACCTAGGTAGGGTACATAAAGTAAGGACCATAATATGGTCTTGCAGTATGTTTTGCTCGAATGATATAGACAAACCTCTGTAGTTACCGCAAATCCGACCCGCTTACATCTTCAATGCGTCATCCTCTTGATGCGCAAGCTTCGATCATATCCGCAAAAACCCGCGCCAAAATTCCCACCTTCACGAATTCCTAAAGCCAGAAAACCAAACCCCCACGGACCAAAAACCACAGAAGCCCCCTTAAACCTCAAAGAGCATATCTCGGCAAAGGTGCTCTTGCCAGCCACCTGAAATTGAGTAGAATTCCACGCTGGAACTCGCCTGGCTTGGCGGAACGGTCCAGCGGAGTCTTACATCTGCATATACACTCACATACCTTTACTCCATTTACGGCTGGTTGAGTGTATCTATCTATCTATCTCTCTCTCTGTCTCTGTCTCTGTCTCCTTCTATATATATATATATACATATATAGACATATCTGTGTGTATATATATATAAGTATGTCCGTATGTGTGTATATATATGTACACATGTATGGATACATGTTTTCGTGTGTGTGCATGTGACTGCATGTTTGTGTATGTATTACATAGTTATATATATATATATATA